CAGACTATGATTATGAGTAATACCATAGATCAGACTATGATTATTGGTAATACCATAGATCAGACTATGATTATGGGTAATACCATAGATCAGACTATGATTATGGGTAATACCATAGATCAGACTATGATTATGGGTAGTACTATAGATCAGACTATGATTATGGGTAATACCATAGATCAGACTATGATTATGGGTAATACCATAGATCAGACTATGATTATTGGTAATACCATAGATCAGACTATGATTATGTTAATTTATAAAGAATCATTTTGATTATACAGGTATATTAAAAACTACCAATACCAATTATCTTATTACAAAAAATAATTACCCCCAGTGGCTCAGCTGTACGTCTCTGGACTTACGACGATAGAGTTCGGGTTTTGATACCCTTGGTGAGCACAGTGCAAATAGCTTTGTGTTTAACAACAAAGAAATAAAGAAATACAAACAATTCATTAAAGAAACCCTAAAACAATTGCTGGCTTGCCTTAAAAGATATATCAGCGCGAGAATTATGACTTTTGCTATTTTCTCCCATTAATACAGTTAAACGCATTCACCTACGTTTGTCTGTCTGCCCGAGGGTTTTCAAAATACCTCGTTACTGCATAACCATTTCAAAATTTCCGTATAATTGCTATGGCTTATTGTTATTAGTCACAATCTATGATAAGTTCGAGTTATTAAATAATATTTCCTTTATAATAAATTTAAGTAGGAGTTACAGCGTTGCACTTATATATCAATATTTCTTGGCTACGGGTATTATATCAATTTATCTTATTTTATTTTATACAGCAACTTCTCATTATGTTATTTGGTGGACTTTTTTGTACTAAAATTTTAACGTAGCAGATATTCAATTACAATCTGTTTTATATTTACACATCCTTCTAATGTACTTTCTTAGGGATTCATTTTCTTCATTCATAACGATTATATTTGCTCGAATAACTTACTTTCAGAGTTAGTGTAACGAGTTTCTTGGTGCACGGCTTAGTGCAAGTTAAATTATTTCAGAACAACTAATATATTTAACTTCGAAACACATACAAAAATACCACTTTCAAGTAGCACGCAAAAATGGTTCAATCTGAATAACCAGAATTTACTTTGGACGAAAATACTTTGTTCTAGTAAATTTAAAACAGTAACTTTGGGCACAACATTCCAACACAGCACGAAAGACCTGAAGGATATAAGCGTCATTTACAGGATAAGCTAAGAGATTAAGTATCGAAAATTTTAAGTTCATTAAATAATCCTCTTAGATCACATACGGTGAGCAACTGGCATGGGTTTTAAAAAGTTTTAATAAAAAGAAACAAAAAACCGAATTTAGTCAAGGTCAAAGTAACACGAATGAAGTTTAGCAGTATTAACATTGACATAAAATGTTTTAAACACATCTAACATAAATTTATTTAGTATATTATAGTAAATTTTGCAAAAGATACGAGATAGTGAGAAATGCTACATACTTGTGTATACATTACATTGCGTATTTGGCTCCAGCTCATTCCTGTCCATTTCGTTTTCTTTACGAATATGAACAGATGAAATCCGACAAACTCTATTTGTGGCTGTAATACAGTAAGAAAAACTACTGCATATAATGGATTCCGCATCTCGACATCTCTTAAAACAGTCCGTTTTAGTTTCGATATCCCCTATGTCTTTAGTGGTCTGGGAATGTTTGTCTAGTTGGAAATTCTCAGCTACAATGCTATATGCCTCATCTTGGACTGTAAAGAATGAGGAAAACACACACAGAAAAATGATTAAATATTCGTTTTGCCTACAAGAGAAGCTATCGTCAAATCTATTAATTGGAACATAATTTACGATAAGGAGTATTTAGTAAATATAAACAATAGCTTGGTAATTATATCCAATAGTATACTTACCATCCTTAAAATTATAAAAAATATAAAATGTTGTTTATGAAAATGAATGCTTTTGTTTTGCTGTTTTTACAGTAACGTTTTCGACATATCATTCATTGGATACTTGAACCAAAATCTTCGGCTAAATAAATCAATAAAGACATACTATCGTATAATAGGAATTTAAAGAGAAAGTAACTGCAATTAAGTTTATTAATACTTTCTTTTCATAATCGACTGTGTGTAATATGTATTCAGTTCTATCTGCCTCTCATCCATCTTCCTTCTGTCTACCTATCTAGCTTTCTAATAAAAAGTAAAGTTGAAATTAGTAATATCAGTAATTAAAACACTCTCGGCTGAAATGTATAGATGGTGATATGGAACTTTTATTTGTCGCTTTTATTGCAATCTTGTAAAAAATATAAAGGCACCATTTCAAATCTAGTGACAAACAAAGTTAAACATATTTTGTGAAAACAAGACAACATCGAAAAGAAAAATAATAAAGTAAAAAAAACGAAGTCAGGAAAGCGATAAAGTTGTAATCACACATTATTTCATGACGTGTATTTTATCATCGATACTCAAGCTCAATCATAGATCAGAATTATCATTTTAACAATATATTGGTTTGGGAGAAAATAGGTAATGTTTGTTACTAGAATTTAAAGGACAAATTTCAATTATTTCCTTTTTGTGGTCATATTCATTGACCTAAACACATTAGGCTTCGTTGTTTTGTTCATATGAGTATGTGCCCACTATTGGCTCTTGAGTTTTATTTATATTCCTGAAAATGGTCTGTTCTTAGAAGCAAGCATTTTCCTCTAACAGCTACAGGTAAATGAATAGTAGTTTTAAATACGGGGCGTCATTGGCTTCAACATCCACATGAGCCCCGATTATATAATTATGTTTATCACATATGAGATATAGGATAAACAGTGTGTACTAATTGTTAGTTTGGTCCTAATTCTGCAGATATCTGACTAACTGCGATACATATATTATTTATATGTTGGAGTTTGTAGCTAAATTTGATTTGTTTGTTCGTTATGTACGACGTTTTATTTATTTCTTTTAAGTTTTAGTACATAAGTATTTGTAGTACGGAAAGAAACTGCAAATTTTTGAATTACTTCTATTGTGTATTTTTAACGGTTCTCACGCAAAATTAACAAATTAATTACATATATATATTTTAACATCAAATATTCGGAAAATACCAACATATAATACTTACGGTTATTTATTTGAACATTCTTTATTACAGATGTTGCATGGAAGTAGACCTAAAATGTTTAGAGAATTCAAGAAATATATGAATAATAAAATTGTTTGAAAAGAGGTATAACGGTTAGTCAACATGTAAGTAATTTAAGCATTCTTAGCTGCTGCCACGACTGTACGAAATTGTATAAGAATGTATTCATATACAATTCCGTTTTATAATTTACCACATTATGAGTTCATGTGAAGGAAAATATTCTAGTACTAAAAGATATAGAAAATACAAATTTTACCAATTTATCTTTAAGACTAAGATATTAATGCTGGATGCATTGGAGAATTACGAGATAATCAAAATATTACACTGAACTATTATCCAATAGGTTAACAATAGATATAGAATAGAAATACTGAATTGATATATCTTATTTTTCTTTACAGGAAATTATTGTAGCTAAGAGCAGTTTAAAACCAGAATGTAGTTGGTTAATCTCTGAGTGTGACGTTGTTGTCCACTCAAATTGTTTTTCGATTTTTAACAAGGCCGAATGATGAATACAGCCTGCTTATAAAATAACAATCACTCGTGCATAAACTAAGGCCAGAGATTAATCAAGCAAAGTTTTGCTTTACGGGAGCTTGGGGTTGTCGTGATTATACTTACATATATTTGTAAAAGATATACATATTCTATTTTAAATTTTACTGCTTAAACTCTTTTCGACACAAGTAGATCTGGAAATAACAGTTTATTACCTTACTATCAGAAGTGGGTGGTGTAATTGACACGACGAAACTTTTGTTAACTTTCGCCTCTAAGTTTTTCAAAGCTCCTTCATTTTCTACATCGAACTCCGAGGAGTCTGTCACGGACCCTAGGGAATTTAAGGTGGGAATTGAAAGTCGAGAGAAAAATAAAAACTTTAGCTTCCTACAGTGGTGTTAAAAATATTGCATTACCCTATTATTTTCACACTTTTCTTGGTTTCTTTAATTTTTTTAAGAGATTGTGTCTTTTGGAAGTATCAGAACTTGTGTAAAACGGTTATTAACATTGTGTGGTGTAAGCTGACTCATATTTTAACCACACATACGCATCTTTATTAACAAACCACTATGAAAAACTTATTACAGCAGATGATCAACTTGGCAAATACGAAAATGTTCTGTGAGTAAGAAAACCTAGACTTAAAGAAAACGCCACTAAGGTAATTGACATAAAGTGGTCAGAGAGTCTGTCTCTTGTTTTAATATTTGGTTGTGCCCTTTCTGGCCTTGATAACTGTTGGACATCGCTGAAAGTAAGCAGGGGCGAGTTCATCATGCCACATGCAGGTTTTCTGCAGTTCCAATGTGTTTCTTGTTGTTGTTTGTCTTGCATTTTGTTACCTATTACCTTCCAGCAATTCTGGGCTAATTACTGGCCAGAGTAGTTTCTTGATCTTCTTCCTACGGAGATAGTCCTTCTCCTGAAGCAATGAAATATAACCTAAAATGTTTTTTCAATACCCTTAGAGTTACATTTCATCTTTATTTCACGTCTACTGCATAGATTGTATGAATTTTACCAACCTGTGACATGGGGCAGAGTCATCTAGAAATATGATCCTGAATTGTTGGTTTTAACTGAGACTTGAGGATCTCGACGTCCTTTTCGGCATTGATAGTGTCTTTCCCAAAATGGAGGCGTTCCACACCCTGGCCAGAGATGCATCCCCATATCACCTGACTCTGTAGATGCTTCACAGTTGCACTCAAACACTCTGGATGAAATTCTCAACGTCGTATAAAGTCCATAAAACCCAAGCTGGTTAAACTTCGATTCCCCTGAGAGGATTACCTTGCTTCAGTCCAGTCAACATGATCTTTGGTTCAGTTAAGCTTCATCTTCTCCATCTTGGAGTTTCTTTCTTGGCAGTCTTTCTGGGAGACTGATTGAACATAGGCAAGACCAGGTGGTGTGCACGGTGACCCCTGAAGTTCCCTGCCATACTCTTTTGAGACCTGTGAACGCATTCGACGATACTGCAAAATTTTACGTGTCGGAAGACGACCATCAGCTTTCACCGCTACCCAAAACCCGTCTCTCTCTATTTCTCTGCACCCAGTAGTTCACAGTAGACTAATTGAATTAATTCTTCTAGCATTCTCCTTTGTCGAAAGTCCCTCTTTGCTCAGAGAAACAATGACTGTTTTTTGTTTTCTTTTCCTGGGGTTAACTCGTAAAACCTTGGACATTGTAGCATAACACGTACCTTGTTACAGATAGCCTTTCAGTAAGAAACTCTAGTCATAGCTAAATAGCACCTGATGCTATACCCAGACAACTGTAAAGCTATTTGTGTAATGATTTGACAGTAATTCATCATCCACGAAACACATTTGCACTTACACGTATTAGGGCCTCAAAACGGTTGATGTTTGTGAAGAAAAGTGTGAAAAAATTGGATGATGCGATAACATTTTCCACCATTGTATGTTTACATTATTTTTATTTCACTAGTAAGTTTAAACAGAAGTAAATCACTTTATTCAGATAAGTTTTTTAAACTTATAATCTTGTCTTTATTGTTTTAATGAAGTGTAAGATTAACTATTGGCTTTCTTGTAAGTTTGAATTACAGTTAATGAAAATACTACACACCTCATATTATTTCTTTAAAATGTTCGGAAAAAATAACTTCTGGATATTAATATACAAGATAGCAACGTTTACATCATTAAGATAAAATTTCAGAAACAAAATGTGTATATTAAAGTTAAAAATAAAGATTCAGAGCAGTAAAATATGAAAACGTACCAAAATTAGGTATATTTTATAAAAAATATTCATAATACAACGAGTTCGTGTTTTAATATGTGTAAATTACTTTATAATTTAGTAGCGACAGTAAATATAATATTCCCCTTGATGGACATTAAAGTTGTAATGTTTAATTACATAGTACACACTGTCAACAGATTCGCTATTTTCTTACTCATGTAGAAATCACAGTTCTTGTAGTTCAGAAGTCGATCTCCCCAGCTTTCGGTCAAGTCTTTTGTGTTTATAAAGCAAGTATGATCACAATAATGAATGGACCTGTGAAACAAATATTTACATTTGATTACCTGATGTAACGATATTGTTAAATTAATTTTCCAACCTTTTTGTGTTTTTTTGATGTACACTTTACAATACAATAAAAATAATTAGAATTTATGATATTATAGCCATAAGAAGACAGATCTTCTTTTATAAATAATGTTAACCAGTCTCCTCAGTTCACTGTTAGTGTTATGCCACACAGGCATCTGAAAACCACTCAAGTACAGTGCAAGTGATTGGTTATTCAACCTAAAATGGTTTCACAAAACTTTGTCTCAGTTTTGATTTGAAATTAGTCGCCAGGTTTAAGGTGTTTAAATTGTTCATGAACCATGAGCCGACTTGAAAAAAGATATTTGGATATTTCACTCATGTGGAGAGCTAACGGAAGAATTGAAACAGGATATTTGCAACAAGCTATTGCCAGTTGGTCAAAAGTATCGTTAGAAGAATGTGGACCTGCTTTTAAGTCAATTGTGCACTTGTTCGGGGAATTGAACAAAACAGATTATGAGCTGTTACACAATCTGGTTGGTTGTTGTTAAGCCCGAAGCTACGTAATGGGTTATCTCTGCTCAGCCCATCACGGATATTAATTTTGTGTGTTTGTTGTTAAGCGTAAAGCTACACAACGAGCTATCTGTTTTGTGCCCACCACGGGTATCAAAACGAGAGTTTTAGCACTTTAAGCCTGTAGACTTACCGCTGACCCGCTGGTGGCCATTACACAGTCAGAGATTGCTATCTGTCAATTCAGCCTCACTACAGTAGTAACATCAAATATTCGCATCACAAATGTATACTTTATCAGTATATAGAATACACTTAACGCTGGTCAATATGTCAAATATTCAGTATGGTGCATTCCTCCTACAGCAGTGCACGAAGTATTTTACCTGCAATAGGGCCAAAAACACATTCATAAGTTCAACGACAAATAGAGCAACATTCTTTATGTAGCTTATTCGCCCTTCAACCAGATAGCAGGAGTATATATACTCATTTGGAAGAAATCTAGAACCATATCCAATCACGTGTTTTCCGAGTATACATACGCATTTGGAGAAAATCTAGAACCATATTTAATCACGTGTTTCCCGAGTATATATACTCGTTTGGAAGAAATCTCGAACCATATCCAATCACGTGTTTCCCGAGTATACATACTCATTTCGAGAAAATCTAGAACCATATCCAATCACGTGTTTCCCGATGGGGCAGTGCTAAGTCTAAGGACTTACAACGCTAAATTCAGAGGTTTGATTCTCCGCGCTGAACACAGCAGATAGATTAATGTGACTTTATTCTAAAACAAACAAGCAAACAATTCAACCACTTTAACATATAAGAACGTAATACGCATAGTATGATGATGTGGTGGAAGTATAGTATTGGCAGGAATAAACACAGTGGACAAGCCGGTTTCCATACCATTAATGTTACATATTTGGATCATATACTAGCACCATTTGGGTTGTTATATTATGGTGCAGTTCACCCTGCGTTAAATTTATGAATGACAAGATCTTCCCTCACCGTATTAAATCTGGTCGTCAAATTTCGTGAAGAAGATTAGGTTAACAAAGTGGAGTGTCCTACACTCCCAATGGATTTCATTCTTATTGAGCACATATGAAATGTTCTTGGAAAGCGTATCGAATTCAGTGAGTGATTCCAGACATTAAAAGATCCTGGAAACAGCTCTTTCAAAGTAATAGTAGATGATACCTCAGGATCTTTTCAGAACTCTGATTTTAAGCATACATTATAGGTGGCTATTGCTGTTCATTGTACTTGTAATTCATAATGGAGTAAAATGTCATAAACAGTAAAGAAGTAAAGTCACGTATACGAAATGTTAATTTCAGATCAATCATTTACATTCAGATAACATGATAAATACACTAGTGTCCAAAAGTTAAGGAACAAACTTGTTGAACACTAACGATTTGTTCCTAAATTTTTAGATAGCAATGTAGTTAGATGCTTGATTTGCATTATAATGAACTGGACAGGGTGACTGACATTACTTGATAGCTGATGCTTGATTTGCATTATAATGAACTGGACAGGGTGACTGACATTACTTGATAGCTGATGCTTGATTTGCATTATAATGAACTGGACAGGGTGACTGACATTA